AGTGATGGGAAAAAACACTTGAAACAAGCCGAAACTCTACTTTTTTGGCTACTTTTTTCGTAGTATTGTCGGACATATATTACTAAAAACTACCAGAGCGGCCTTATCCTCTCATGCTGCAATGGGCTTGTCCTCTGAGAACGACGGTCTAGTCGAAACGTTAGGCTGGTAATAAAAGTTTCACTTAACAACCTCTGGCGCACAGCACAACATCGAAGTTTCGTCAGATTGCCAGCCAAGGGACTTTTTCACACTAGTCGACCATGGCGACGAAGAGGCGGATTGATGGAATGCTTTGTTGGCCCGCATTCGGGCCGGTCCTGGCTATTGTGCGATGTCCCCTTTAACACCACCTCCGCCTCAGCCGGCTAATGCCGTTTGGACTCCAGCAACTTCGGCACCGAGCTCATTTTTAAATTTCGTGAAAAGTAGGGAAGCTTTCGGGAAATTTTGGAAAAATGACAGGAAGTTGGGGAAAACCTGAGAATTATTAGAAGGGGGACGGTAGTATTGTCTCGCGGCTTTTCCTGTTTCACATGTGTTATTTACCCCTCCCCCCCCTCCCCCCGCGCTCGACGGCTCGATTCGATGAGGAAGGACAGAGGGCGGGGAGGGGGGAGGGGTCGTACCTACTCCCAAAGAAAAGGGGGGAGTCGTATAGAGTCGACTAAAATCCGCAACCAATGATTTTTCCTGGGCTAGACGGAATTTTGGGTTTTGGGTGAAGAACTGGAAAATGTGGGAAATTTTGGAACCCCCCCCACGCTCCGGAAGCCACGCTCACGACTTTAAGGTTAACGGCCACTATTAACGCCAGTTGTCTCCTACCGATTGCAGAACATAATACGTATCTTTGCTATTTATTACAAGCGAGAAACCTACGCCAATGAAGCTGTTGCACCAGCACAATTTCGACAATCCGTCGTTGGTTGATCTTCCACCGGGACTTTGTTCACGGGTGGGGTAGTTCGCACGGACATGATCACACACCTGTGGCCATGGTTAAGTGTGTCAAACGGAACCCGACAGAAAACATAAACAGCTACCAGTAGCGGCCTGATCTAATAGCTATTTTGAGTCTGCGTCACTGAAATATGGATCAAACACGGGAAATGGAATTCTGTCAAAGCGGGTTGCATCCCATTTCAGAGACGGAAACCCCCGGTCACTACAGTAGCAACAAAATACTTGGAACAAGACGCAATGGTTCTACTTTTAGCCTAATTATGCCTACATTGTTTGCGTGATGACCGCCAACGTATTAGAACACCAAATCGTATAATATGTATGTAAATTTGTATAATGTTAGTACTTTGAAAATTTTGCTGTCGAGCGGGGGGGCATATAGTACGTGAAACAGGAAAATCACCAAAAGTCAACCGCCACTCCCACAACGCCAAAACGTAAATACGACCCCCCTCCCTTTACAACGTCCATGAAGCGAGAAAAATCAACTATCAAAATAAATTTTTCTCAGCCCAAATACGACCCCCCCCTCCTGGCGACCAAATACGACCTCCCCTATTGGGGATTCCCCAACAACGACGCTCTGGTCGAGCCTGGGGGAGGAAGGTATATAGCCAATGAGAAACGGAAAAACCGCCAGGTAGAGCCCGGAAGATAGAATTCTTCGTTGAAATATTTCTGAACTTGGAAGTTAGAATTCTTCGTTGAAATATTTCTGAACTTGGAAGTTCCTAGGACTTGTCGCATTCGATTTATCATGGCAAGCCTTACGAAGGCAATGGATGTCTAGCATTACGCGTTGATCACGTCCTTTTAGGGTAGGCCCACGCATTCTCTCTTAATTCACAGTCCTACTTGCTCATAACGGAATCGTAACTAAAAAAATCTTCTCTATTTTTACTGGCCATCATATTAAAGGCAGAGGACTATTACATACTTCAGAAGAATAACATTGGCAAAATGAATCTAAATTAGTTGTGTAGCTTACGCAGTTGTCTGCATAGTATACATGTATTGAACACAAGATGGGGTTAAAATACCAGTTTATTCGAGAATTTCAGAACTGGAGACTCCACTTTACATTTTACAAAACAGTTGAAGTGCAATAGTGAAAATAATGGAAATGGTGCATGAGGCACAATCTTCAATTAAACACGTGCATCACCGGGAATAACCACCGCAAGATATACACAAGTATACAACAATATTCACATGTAAATCTTCTCAATCATAGAACTTTAGTATTATCACTGGTTATTGCTCAAACATGTAATCAATGATATGCTGCAAGAAGACCCGCAAAGTCACTGGATTACAATGAGGCCAAGATTCCTTACATGATTTTCAAAAAGAGTATAAACCAATACGAATTATTACTACTATTAAACAAAGCTCCAAACAAAATCACTTTCACAAAATAAAGCATTTCATCGAGGGAAAATTAATATTATATATGTTACGGAACCATCTGATCACGGATGAGTGCGACGATCCTACAGCGGGTGTTTCGTCTCAGGTACATCATCGGGATGGGGGAAATGGATGAACCCCACCTCGTACATGCCCCGCCCACAAGTGGGAGGCGAACCAGGAAAGGCAGGGCGTGCGCCGAGGTGGGAGGAGATAGACTCGAAAATTCGTGAAGCGGTGTCGGTTTTCCTCTCCTCTATTATACTTACGCACAATGTCCTCACCAATTTTCACCAGTTTTTACCAAAATTAGCCGCCGGAGCGTTGGGCGGGAGGGGCGGAGGGGGAGGTGGGGGGATCAGACACCTGCGATGACCTACTGACCTACTATGTTACCATGTTGTCTACTAGCAGAGGTACAGTCGCTATCACAGAAGTCACTCGGGGCGTGGGTATATAGCCCTCTTAAAGAAGAAAAACTTGGAAAAGTCTACAACCGAGAACGTTTACCTCGAAGGCAAATACCACACCGCTCCTCCCCCTCCACCAGTGACCAAAACGGACCCCCCCCCCCTGCAGATCCTCAGCGTCCTCGCGCCGTATCAACAAGTGCTTGATGTAGCTGCCATTCCATGACAGCACATGCTCTTCTGCTAGAACTCTACTGAAACCCTACTGGCAACTAAGGTTCTCACAAAATAGAAGTACTTACAAAAATTAATAAGACCACATGAAAAAAATCAAATATGCACACTGATTTTTGCAGTACATAAGCATTCAAAACTGCGAATGATAACGAGTCACATCAGCAGATGTTTCGAAAAGAATGCGCTGTGATGTATAGTTGATAGTGTCTCGATCAGTCGGGACGGGGTCAGGAGGGGCGGAATGAGCCCGCCTCCAGCTGACTTGCTCTGCCAACGGTAATCGGTTAATGATCGATTCAGTACGAAACTATCCAATGGTGGGAAAGCTTCGGGTGGGCTCATTCCATTTTCCATGGAACCGGCTCTAGTGATTATTTGTTATCAACTGTACGTATGAGATTTTATAAAATGACTGGAACTATTACTTGAGGAACGTGGATAATCACATTCCATCACATTATTGAACATACTTTCGACTTATTTTCCAATTTGTCATCGCCATTCGATTCAGTGGATTGAGAGTGCGAACTCCCACGTGACTTGCCACACAGGCGGCCATCCTTTGAAGACGCGTCGGATTTACGGGGCGATGACTTGCTGCGAGGCCTAAAAGAATTATTTGATTGGTTCTTTGTTATTATAGCAGGGACATCTTGCTAGGGACTCTCGCGGGAAGTACCAAGTAGCTACAAAATGATTTTCCAATGATGAGCAAATCTTCTGAGGTGGACGGCAGTTTTCGCTACAGTACTGTAGCTTGTGGCTTGCTATGATAGTTCCACTCTGGGAAGGAGATTGTTCGTTCAGCGCGAATCTTCCACGCCCAGAGTACAGCACCCGAATGGGAGAAATTGCCGTGTTAGGCAATCTCCCTCCCCGGGATTCCTTCCTCTGGTACATCCATCCTTTCCCATTCCACCTACTATCTTCCTAAGTTTGCGGTCCGTTGCGGTCCCTAACTACAGGGGATATGTAGCACACGTGAAGTGGGAAAACCGTGAGAAGCCAGCGACTGAGGGATCTCTCTCTAGGTTGGGGAAAACCCTGTTGAGGTCAGCTACGACCTCTATTCACCAAATACGATCCCCCACCCCACTTCCCAAATGCCAAATACGGGTATGTCGCAAAAGAATGGTAATTTGCCGCGTTAGTGGGCGTCGCCTATATGAAATTCGACGCTCCAATCGATAGTGTAGTCCAAATTGCCAAACTGAGGAAACGTCGCGCCCATTGCCGCGCGCGACAAAGTGACAATTTACGAATCGCTTGCTCGTCCCCCGGCCGAGTGGGATCCCTCTGATGGGATTCTCAAAAAGACGTCGGATCCTGGCCACGCTACCTAAGGCGTGCCCTGCTGAAACACCATCGCGGAAAGAAAAAATTTTTTTACGATGCGACCGGACCAAGAAAACTCTGTGAGCGCGAGGAGAGTTAAATTGGCAAAGCTACCGGGCTGAAATTCAACAATTACACTCCACATCACTGAGATGCGGTGGGCGTGATCGCGCACTTCATGTGAACATCGCATGGGATAGGTTATTCGTGGAATATTCATTTAAGTTGACTGCCCTCTTGTTTATTGCTAGTTAAAGACTTGACTACAATTTTTCGAAAAATACGGCTCCAGTACCACGGCCGCTGCCACGTTCAAACGAAGGGCGCAGCCACGCCTACTGTATATCAACTACTGAGAGTAAATATAGTGCACTAGAAGCCAAGTAAATTAACAGTAGACCGGAGTACCCTCCCTGTCGGAAGAATTCTAATCATGGTGCACCCTAGCCTCGAGTGCGACGCCTTGCACCATAAATGGACCACACGAGAAACAGTACAGTGCTAAAAAATTCTTACCAAAATTAACTTTTTCTTTCCCGTTCATTCCCGTTGACCCCACTGGGAATCCAGATACGACACCCTTCCCAGCGATTTGACCCAAGTCGCAGAGGAGTCGCCAAATAGATTCTGTATTGGTTCCACCTACTTCAGTCGCTTGATGAGTGTTCGGGCTCGAGTTCTTCGATGTGTTCGAATGGTGTTGACAATCCCTTCGAGAAACGTCTTTGCGTCAGCAAACTGAGATGATGAAAGCATCATGAATTCACAATCGGGACCGAGTTCGCTGGCCCATTGTTGTCCCTAAACATCACATTGTTGAGCGTGGAAGCGTAGCAAGTCGTTGAACTCATAAACATCACTGTTTTCTGGAACACAGCTAAGTCAACAATTATGACAGCACCTGTTCAACCGCCATTCCGCCATCCTCATGTGCTTTTCGGATTTTTTCCATGGAATTCCTCCGACGCATTCGACCCTCTCTTTCAGGGTCAGATTCATAACCTGAAAGCAAAAAAAGGGGTAAGAGAGATGGATAAGATTTAGTTCACTTTCTAGGACCCACGAGTGGAGGTATAATGGGCCCCGGGGATAGCCATAATAGAGCTCTTCTTCGGATGTAGTCTCTTTACCTACTTTGACTTCAGGGAAGCCTAACCGCAGAATGGCATGCCGAGCAAGTAATCGTTATTGAGGCCGTTGTAAAGGATAGAACTTTGAGAAATTCACATTCATTCAAAGCACAGTCAGGTCCAGGGCGCTCCAAGCAGTCTTTGGCCAATGAAGTTTTGGCGTTGATCAGCAATTACTACTCCGGAAACTAACAAAAAATCTTTTGCCATAACTTCACCTGTGGGGTTACTCGGGGCCCTGGAGGAATATAGCCGTCAATTTCAGCAGTGCTAAGGTAGGACACTCTGATCGCCTGCGCTCTGTTGAGCTGAGCTCAGAGGGAGGGAATAACGTCCCGTCCCGTGCTCAGCCTTAGCACAGCACTACATGGCGCTGGTGTCGACAAACGAATGTCCAGTTAACCTCAAATGTAGAGTAATAACAGCTTTGGTAGGGAAAGTTAGGGCGCTAAATCGACGCAGAAGCCATTGTCGCCCAATGGCGCCGGCACCATGCACGAGTGTCACATTCAGGACGCAAAAGAACTCTAGTAAGCAGCCTTTACCTCGATTTTGGTGCAAAAATGTGGGCGCCAAACTGATACTTAAAGGCGCCAAATGGCGTCGGGATCCAAAACGGAGGTCAAGTTTGTGATCAGGTCATTGGATGACCCCAGTATTCGAAGTTCTAATAGAAAAAAAGTTGAGAATCCGAGGTAGGGATAGCTGAGCAGTGTTCAAGTATATCATCCTATTAAAGACTGCTGGCTGGTTTCCGGCCTACTTGGGAGCGTGAGCACAGGATTCTGGCATTGATCCAGCCAAAAATTGTATCCTTTTCGCAATGAACCGAAACGGCAGAAGCACGGCATCCTTTCATAATGGCTTTCCTTTCATAATGGCGGAAAAGTTCAGAATAAGTTCAAAAAGAATTTTTTCCAACTTTCTCAACCCATTTTACATGGAGCTGAGTGTGCAGCAATTCTAATCCAACCAGCTCTATGGCTACGTTTTGGTGACCTGAGACTTGACATAGCCAACTTTGACTCAATTGCCCAGACCTTGAGAACCGAGAAGGTGGTGAAGAATGAAGTGAATTACCTTCCGAGACAGAGCTGATTCCTGTTGAGCCGCCATCTTCTTCGTCTTCAACAATCTCATCAGAATCGCACAAAAGCCGCAATGGAAGCTACAACGGAATTAATTTGGAATGTGAGATCAAGAACTTCATTCCCACAAATCAAATTTTCCAATTGATACTTCACAGAAATTTTACAGTAAACTCTTGACGCCTCCATGTTTACTGTATACCAATGGTTGGTTAATTCAAATAGAGTATTACGCTAAGCGGTAGATCAAGTGAGGGACGAGTTTACTGACGAACTAGTTATGCGAAAACTAGGGGACTATCAACAGTGTTGACGAGAAAAGCGTGGAGATAATATACAACAATCTCTCAACACATTTCCCAGGTAGCTTGTCATTCCCACCGAATTCTATTTACAAGTAAATCCGTTCACACTGAATTCCCAGCAACGGTAATTGTGCCAAAAGGCTCCGTATCCCTTTCTCTCAAATCAGACCTCGCCCAAGTCAACAAAGCTCTCCAGCTCTGTTGAGATAGTCAACTGGTGCCAGCCTAACACTCAACTGGCTCCATGAGCCTGATTTATGTACAGTTCGGGGCTTAAGTTGTAGCGACCCCTTTTCATTTACACCTCACCTGAGTCCCTTGAGATTTTTCATCAATAAGTGATCTTGAAAATTCGGAACCCGCGGCAAGTTGGCAAACAACATTTGCTGCTAAAAACAGATTACGTGAGCAGGTGAGAAATAGAAAGGAGGAACCAGTTCCGAGGCCGAAAGTCATCGCAAAACTCATGAGCCTCTTTCCTTCAGAATTACTATCACGTAGTATGAGGGTCACCTTTCAAAGACAACTTACTCTCTTCAAAGTGTTATTTATCGCTTGTTTACGAGGCTTTCATGGGGAGCGGATTAACCCGGTTGTTCTAGTTTTCAGTCGTGACAACAGACCAAGCACATGCATGCAATTACACATGCCCTTTGAAAGTTAGAAGCAGTACTGGCGACTACCAACATTACCTGATCTCTATCCCGCCAAAAGGCCACAAATAGCTCAGCTGTATATGCTCTCTTCCGAATGATAAATGGGTTGTTTGAACTAGGAGCCCCAGAATTTACTACTGAGGGCTTACTCTTCAAGATTGTGTTGCATGGTGCGTGAAGCGAAATGTTGCACTTAGCACAGTGGTCTTGGACGGGCGGACGAGTTAGCCGCCATCATGTCATCACCGGCCATCAGGCAACGGTAACGCAGTAGTCTTGCCCACCCCTCTCTCCGCTGCAAGAACTGAGGGCTACAAAATTGTTAGAGATTGTTGGCTGTGGCGGCAATTTGGAGTCGGGGCAAGAGTTAGTGTAGATTCGAGGGACGGTTGAGCCTTGCTTAGTCGCTTTGAGCGTGCAATAAAACCAAACGGGTGGCCTTTCTATATAGGGAATCTATGGGGAAATATTTCTGAAATCCATTTTACATGGAGAAAGAACCACTCCACCTTATGTCATGAAAAGATGGCCTACTGTATCCGCATCATTTGAAGTTGCTTCACATTTTTTCTATGGTTGAGTACCACGGGTCTAACAATTGTTGCTATAATGTTTGAGGGCACCACTAAGTCAGCTTTCCTGACAAGCTGTGATCCACGCCTCAGATTCAGACGCACGGTTTAACCCTGTGTCTGGTGTATTGTATAGAGTACCCACTTACCAGCCACCTCGCATGAGAAAAAAGTTTCAGGGTTCCTCTCAATAGGCATAGCATCTTTTTTATTACCCCTCCCGCACGTCGCCAGCTCTGGCTCACACAGTGGATATCTTTGCCCTTTTCAGATAGCCTACAACTATGGTGCACATAGCCTTTCGCCAAAACTTGAGCATTACCTGAGAAGTGAGAGTGAGTGAAACTTCTGCGATGAGAACCATTATTTATTTTTTTGTATAGAAAATAAAAATTGCTTACATTTGATTTCATCTCCAAGTCTTCTTTCAATGATTGCAAATTATGAAGTGAACTGAGTGAGAGGGCCGAGTAGAAGAGTAGAGCGAGATCAGCTCGCCTGATAGCCATTTCTCGTCCACCAGTGCGAGCCTGAAAGCTGACTTCCAATTCCAAAAATTCTTCCGATCTGATGACCGACGAGAGCTGTACGTTCTCGGCGATCTTTCAGTGGTCAAAACTACAACTTGTTGGGAGTTATACGTGTAAATCGTTATAGCAGTAAAGCTGACTTACCAGACCAGGATCGGTGAACTCTAGTAGTTCTTCTTTTCCATCACAATCAACGGTAAGGTAGTGAACATCTTGATAGTGAACATGCCGCTCATACTTGCTGGCTGCTTGGCAGAGTTTCTCAAACTGGAACACACTTCTTCAGAGGTAAGATAGCTCTACTCACCTAAGACTGGTACTGAGATTATTAAATACCAATGATGCGTTATGCACTCAACCGCTGTTCCGATTCCAAGGAGTTTGTAATTACTGGCGACTGTCCGCTGGCTAGCGGCACATATTGGCGATAGGCGGAGCCAGCTAATGTAGAAATCAGCGTTTTCAACCTCCCAGAAGCGATTAGCCGGTCCTATATAGATCGGAGGCTTAGAAAAAAGGAGCTAAATTTGAGAAGATCAGGACTTGGGCGATAAGTGGTATCACATGCAACCACCACTATCAGGTCGCGTTGTAGGTTGGTGATTCCCAGCCCGGGGTTGATGGCTTTTCACAGTCTTGTCCGTTTTAAGTGTGTATCTACTTCCCCCCCCCTGTTCCCGCTTGATGGCATCTTTGGGCTGAAGATTTTTAGGGGTGTAAAGTGGAGAACTTTCAAGCGGAAAACTTTGCAAAAGTGGTAGGGAGTTGGAAGATTTCAAGGCAGGCGGGATAGGAAATGGTGAAGATGGGTCGTGAGAGAGGAAAAACTTCCGAGGGGGAGGGAGAGTATTTCGCCAAATGTATTCGAAATCGATTCGCAGTCAGTTCTTCCTTATTCCTTTCAATGGATGCACCAGTGGTGAACTTCAAAGAGAGCCTCATCAGAATTTAGGCATTTGCCGTTTGACGGACTGGATGACAGCTGAGGAACCCACGTGAGTGGTAACAGCCGCAAAGGCATGACCTGCGCTTGTGCAAACCTCGTTATCTCGGTGTCGCTTCAAAATCCAAAATCCTTTGAAAAATTTTTTGAACTTTCTCCTTTCTCAGCTGTAAGATTGGAATGTGGTAAGCCGCGCTATGCGCAGCGCATTGTGTACTTGCACTACAATGTACGCCACAAACCGGTTTGCTGACCACAAAGTACAATTTTCAGTTCAAGCTCTCAAAATAATCCGCTACTTAGGCTATTTACCTCCGGCCGAAGGATAATGAAGTGTTAACTGAGCTCAACTAATGCGAGGGACCATTGTTATGTCTACTATTGGCTATTTATAAATCAGTGTTGATGCCAATTTATCCATAGTCCATGGTCCCTGGCAATAGTTTAGCTCATTTTACACTTCACTGCAATTTCATCACGACGTCCGTCCTCCTCATGCCGAAAGAAGGCAACGCGGCATATCCCACCTCACCGACCCTTATTCATCTCTTATTCCTAATCAAGGGAGGGATAAAGCTTTTTAGGTAGCGATGAGCATTTTACATCCATTCCGAGACGCTATACACCATACTTGCCCTAGCAAGTAAGCTTGGTACCAATTTACGGGCCCGGATGAATGGAAAGTCTAGTTAGCCCCGGAAGGGACGGACCCGGTATTTGACATACCCTATTTGACATACACCACTTGCAACTGCACCCCATCTCCGCATTCCTATTGATCTCTCCTTATTAACTGACCAAGATTTCACGACATGATGAGAATCAGGTTAAACTCACTCGCTCTTCTAACGAATCTGAAGCGGAGAATGAGCTTATGCTCCCCACTTCAAATGGGTTCCCTGATGAGTTGAACGTTCTCACCACCGGGGTGTTGGAGAACACTGGGTTATGACAACGCAATGTATAGAAAGCACTTGGGTGTGTTGCTTATAAATTGGCAGCAACTTAGAGCTGATCCCAAGCCGCTGAGAAGACGAAAAGCTCGAAAAGGATAAATTATGGTTCCACTCCACTGTTTTGAGTTCAGACATTATTGAGACTTGATGATGAGCCTTAATTTGTGGACAAAAGTCGGACCACGCGCAGGATTCGAACCCGCATCTTTCGTTTTCGGATCGAGCCCTGCGGTGTTAAACAGCAGTTGTCCTTAATTATGGACTTCCGTAAGCCACAGCCGTAGTTCAGCTGGCCCCTGCTTTTACGACCTTCCGTCCACCACCACTGAAATCTCGCTATACAACCTTCACTAGGCCTCGGAAGTACCTGCTAAAGGAACTGCTCGGTACTCTATTAGCAGTAACCATTTCTAGCACCTCATTACTGGTTAGCACCCCATTAGTACACCATGTCATCGACATTAATGAACGACGTGAAGTTGAGCCTTGATAAAACTACTGGTAATTCAATGGCGTATCTACTGCTAAAACCATTAGTAATTCAAGGGTAACGAAATAAAAATTCAAAGAAATCATCTGTCAGTGAATGACGTGACAATGGCTAATTACTATTTGAAGGAGTTAAACACCGTAACTGCAGTTTCTTCGCGTAAAACATTAGCGAAAAGGCTTACACATGATTGCGGCTCATTCCCCAACGAACAGGGTAATACACATACAGTCCTCATCATTACGTACTGTCGGGCGGTTCAGTGCGGCTGCGTTTGGCGCGGTGCCAAACCCGCTCTCCACCAGTATTTAAAGCGAGCAAATGATATGACTGTATTATATCCTCCGTATTACTCGTTTTCTACCACTTTTTGTCGCATACGCGTTTCAACAAAAAGGCTGAGAACGGCTTCAACAGTGTGCACACTCATACTGGCTGACACGCCCCACCGGTCCGCAATGATGAGGACTGTACACAGTTGATGACGTCGCAGTCAGTCGGGGGTTTCAAGAGAGATTAAATGAACCCATTCCCACCACTTTTTGATTTCTTCCAAAATCGATCACCAACCGATCATCATTGGAGGAGCAAGGCGGTCGGAGGCAGGCTGGTTCCGCCCTCCATGCCAGCGGCCCAACTGAGTATCAACATACACTTGTCCTGGTACGGCACGCCTAGCGTGAGCTTACACATGACCACAAAAAGGTACTTCTCAATGCCCACCTGAACTGCACAGATTACCAAGTGGAAAATAACTGCTAAGATTATGTCAAGCCGTCTAATCAGGGAACAGAAAGCGGCCCCGGTGCCGTAATGAGCTGCACATTCTCTCGCTCCATCTCTGCAGTGCGGGTTCGACTGCAGCTCGAGGTCGTCTTTTGACTCATAGCTCGGAAATCGGCGCATTTGGGCTAGGTGGTGGCACAAAATGGTACTCTGCCTGTGCAGACCACATTGTGAAGTCCTGTAAATTCTTGAAAACCAAAGTGGCTCACTTTTACTACCATTTAGTATGTTTACAGGATTTACAGGCCTAACCGGATGGAAATTTACAGGCCTAACTGGATGGGACGTGTTGCTTAACATAAACTAGCAAAAGTGCGAAATACCCTCCCCAAGCCGAACGGCGCTCGGCACCCTCGCATTAGCTTTGGTAGCGCGATGTGAGTGCCAAGCATTACATATCATGTTAAAATGAGCTCCATTTTCCATTAAATTCGTAGAGAATAGAATGAAAACTGATAAAACATATCATGGATGAATTAAATGGATAAAAGGGTCATGATATCCTTACCAGTATACTTTTCTGAGGCGATCCAAGCATTACAACATACAGCTCATTTCCGACGCCTTCATCTGAAGACATTCCGTAGCCTGAACAGAAGTGGACTTATCAGCGAAAAGGGTCTACAGAGGTCAATGGCATAACCGAGCATCGATACGGTACTTCCCATTACAACATATAATGAGTAAAATAGTAGCAAAAAATAAAGAAGTAGTTCTCTGTACCGTCTATCTCAGAAAAATCAACGTTACCCCTAGGAAAAGACTCAGGCTCATGGATTATGAGTAATCACTAGCAAAAAATTTTTTGGAAGTTGGATGCCAGCCGTCAAGAATAAACGGAGCAGGCGAACATTTGATTTCTGGACCAATGAAAGAGTTTGAGGCGAAAATATGACGAAAACTGTTGCGCATGCACAAACGCCTTTGTCACGTATTTGCACAACGAGAAAATCAAAGTTTTACGACATCGGCCACTAAAAAATATCGCCGCGACAGCCGTACCTGACAGCTTGTACAAAAGTAGGCAGCAAGTCAGGAAAGTTCATTTGAAAGCACCTCTGTAATTGTAAGTCTAGTTGCTGAGACACAAATAAGAAATTCCATGCGAAACTGGCCTACCAGTAGAGAAGAGAGCAGAAAAGACCGCAGAAAGTTTTATAGCCCTATAAGATGACCTTCAGATACCAAGGAGCATGCTGCGAATAGAGACGCAGAGACGCCCAGAGGGGAGAGAGGGAATAGACAGGCGTGGATCATAGAGACTGTGGCTGCAGATGCTGTGAATGTGGATGACTACAAATCACCGAAGGAGACAGCATGAAGAAGGCGCCTCTTAGACACAAGTCACAAACCCCTGGCGTTCTATCACGCACTTTCAAGTGGTGAAGTAATACGCTATACGCTCAGACCTGCTCTTCGTATGCGCAAAAATGATTTCGCCATCTGAGTGAACGCTGAAAGTGTAGAGCGGAAAAGTAAGCTTACTCGGTAAGAAGTCAACTATACATGGGTGATACCGCTGCTGTAACATCCTACATCTGGAGGCACCATACGATATACCGTATATAAGTGCAAATCATGGTGACCGCAGCGCCCTCGTCACTCACGGTGTATCGCGAAAGTGGGACAATTTTTGCGATTACTGGATTTGCGATTACTTGGGAACGAAGGAATGCCATGAATTGGTTGAGGGCGAGATCTGTCTTCAGAGTGCACCAATCGCTTGAGCACTCTGAAGTTTGAGGTGCCGAGGAGACAGTCTTTGTTGAACTTCCAAAACCTTTTATCAGTTTCTCACGTCTGTAAGTGATGACGCAATAAACGCGCGCTTTACAATCCACTTAGGTTTTTTCTTTAAGGTTAGCTTTGCTGCTAGCTGTAGTTCTTTTTCGTCATTTTTATTTGTACGTTTGACGGAGGGGAGCAAGTGAGCAGAGTACTGTATCATTCTCGGTCTGCAGTACTACTGCATCATTCTCGTATTTCCAGCTGATTCGAACATAAACTCTTTTCTAAATAGACCAGTACCAGTTACTACAACTGAGGAACTATGATGAATATATAGCGCGAGCACTAGGCGTAATATGGATTTCCTAGCCTTTCAGCAGTAATTTTCTGAAGGCATCCGCAAATAAAAAAAAACGTATTCAAACTCAAAGTGTCTAATCAGTCGAGAGGTAGACTCTTTCGCTGGGCCAGGTGGTCGGGGTTCACTACTGGCGGGATTATCCCAGAGGCTTTTAAATGCCTTGATGTAAGTTAAAGACAGTACCCAGCAACCATCCATGACACTTTATCGGGGGAACAGACAGTTCCCGCGATAAAGTGTCATGGATGGTTGCTGTTCAGTTATGAAACAGTAGCTGATGCAATTGACTGCAAAATGTGATAAATTAGAGCAGAATTATTATGGGCACGAGCGCGGTCAGCAAAAAGGACATGCAATTCCGATTAATGCCCGCCGCCCCAACAAAGAACAACTGAGCGGCCCTCCGTCAGAGGGCATCTAGCAAGTGGGCGGTCCAACTGAGCGGGCGTTAGAACTAGAACTTTCAGCGGCTGTAGCTCGCTCCTCGCTCGCTGTGGAGTCGCGAGAGTGGGACAGTCTCTTAGCTTGGGGCTGGACTACTTGCACAAGGAAGGACGACCACGAATTATTAGGCTGGCGAGAGAATTTTGCCACTTTTTAAAAAGAATATTTATTTCTAGAGAAACATATAAGATTAAATGTATTCACCGTTTTGTTCCGACTACTTCTTGCCAACGTCCAGGCAGTTTTATGGATACCACCCCTTAAGAACTCATCTTCGCATAAGGCAAAATACGATGTCAACTCGATCTGGATC